CCTTACAGCAGGTGTTCAATGGGCTCATCTCTTGAACAGATTATAAACCAATTCCCTGTTGTCTAACTCATGGTTAGTTCCATTTAGCACAAATTATACAAAAGTATCCAGTTGTGATGCGCAGAAAATAAAAAAGCTATTCCTTCGCTACAGACAGTTTGAGAAGCATGGGTCTCAATGATTAATAAAGGAGCTCAGCCTAGAGTGGTGGCAATGGAGACAGAAATGAAAGGACAGTTTCAAGATATACAGTTGACCCTTGAACAACACAGGTTTGAAATGCATGGGTCCACTTGTATGCAGTTTTTTTTCCAATAAATATACAGTATTGTAAATGTATTTTCTCTTCTTTATGTTTCTTTAATAACATTTTCTTTTCTCTAACTTACCGTAAGAATATAGTATATAATACATCTAACATACAAACTATGTGTTAATTGACAGTTTATGCTATCAGTAAGGCTTCCAGTCTACCAGTATACTATAGTAGTATAGTTTTGGGGCAGTCAAAAATTATACACAAATTTTTTCACTGTGCAGGGAGTCAGCACCCCTAACCCCAGCCTTGTTCAAGAGTCATCTGTACTTTGAAGTAGAACTGACAGGATCTACTAACAAACTAGATATGAGGAGGGGCAGGTGAAAGGTAGGTACCAGGGTTCTGGCCTGAGCAACTGGACAGATGATGGCACTATTACTTAAGACAAGGGAGGCAGTGATTTGGGGGAGGATGGGAAGGGGAGTCATCAAGAGCTCCTTTTTGGACATGTAAATTTTGAGATGCCTATGTGATGTCCAAGCAGAGATATCAAATAAGCGGTTAGATGCTCGAGATTAGAGCTAGAGAAAAGGTTTAGGCTAGAGATAAAAATTCCAGAGTTTTACCATATAATTGACATTTAAAGCCATGGGAAAGTGCAGGTAGAGAATAGAGCCATAGAGCCCTGGGTGTAGCTCAAGTCAGTATTTGGAGGATGGAAAAGGAGGAGCCAGCAAAGGGTGGCCAGTGAGAGAAGAGAACATGAAGAGTTGGAGGGGGAAACAGGAGGGTGCTTCAGGAAGGAGAGTGCTGCTGAGAAATAGATTATAATGAGGACAAAGAGGCATACATCAAATTTAGCAGCAAAAAGGCCACTGGGGGTCTTCTGAAGAGCAATTTCACTGGAGTCATGTGCACAGACAAATGAATGGCAGCTGGAAAGTAGAAATGACAGCCTGAATTAGTCTTCCTTTGGTATTCCCATGTTTCAAACCCCACCGCCCCACCCCCATTTAACACATCTGACTTTGTCTTATCTATATAAGGGTTTTGTTTACCACCTATCCCATTTTTTAAAAAATCTCCTTCCACCCTCCTTAAAGCAACCTTTGTTGAACTGAGTTACTTAACTGAACTCAATATTTTTAATTTTTAATTTTTAATATTTTTAAGTTTGCTCCATACTTTACTGAAAATAAAAACACTTCATAAGAGGTCAATACAAGTATACAATGCCTATTATTAAATGTTATTTTAATCTTCACATGTGAAATTTGTGTGTGTGTGTGTG